AAATATCAGGGAACGCCAAAAATCACTTTCCTTAATCTGGCTTTCCTGTAAAATCGAGATGAGTGTTATAGTTTAATTACATTATTAGCAATAATAATTGCTACCGTTTACTAAGGCCTACAATGTACAACGTGCCAGATGCTGTATGAAGTTCTCTTCTGCAGTATCTCACTTAAACAAACTTTACTTCTATTGTTTCTTTGGAGTGGGGGAATTGGGTTTATTTGTTTGTTTATTTTTTAATGGAGCTACTGGGGATTGAACCCAGAACCTTGTGCATGCTAAGCATGCACTCTCCCGCGGAGCTATACCCTCCTCCCAACCTTTGCTTCTACTCTTAACTTAAATCCTTCTTGTGGACAAATAACCCCCACTGTGCACATTTGTCTTTCCTTGTAGAACCTAATTGCACAAATGACATGGATAGGTCAGGGCCAGGGCCCCGGGGAGAAAGGTGATGCAGAAGGAGGTTGAGAAGTTCCCAGGGCCCTGGGCCTGGGCCAGGATATACCTTTGCTGATAAGGGCAGGGACTTGGACTGTTTCAAATCATTCTCAGGACTCTGAGAGCTTCTGAAACTGGGCTATCTATACCTTCAGGCCCTCCCAGAGATACTTGGGATATAATTGAGAGGCTAGAAATGCCAAAAGCAAGGCAGGCTTGGGCCAAATTGTCTGCCATGCCTGTGGGCAGAGATAACACAGCCTCTGGGCACAGAGGGCTAAGGCTGTTTGCTCCATCTGCACTCTGCATGTAGAGACCCACTTTTCCAAACCCAATGTCTTCTGTCTAGGACAAGTGTCTTAAGTGTATCCACACTGTAAATGTGGGTAAAGGGGGCCAGGATTCTTCTCTCCCTGGTGCCCCAGCTGTGGCACACTGTTACAATGCTTGTCTGTTTCTTTCATGTGTGTTCTGGGGCAACTCCCATGTTGCAAGGTGCTCAGCAAATCCAGAATCAATAAATGAATGCATGAATGTAACCTCAAAGAACCGAGGTAGCGTTAAGTCACTGCAGCTGAAAGGGTTCAAGAACAGGGTGCAAAGACTTTTGCCCCAGTTACCGGCTCCTGGCTACTTTTACCCGCCCCCCTCCTTTGGAAGGACCGCGCTGCCCACCCCAGGAGGCTCTCCCCTCCCCAGGAGGCTCTCCCCTCGGGCGGCCCAGCCACTCCTAAACATCCTGTCTCTCTAACCAAGGGGCGGGCTGTGAGACCGGGACCCAGCTCTTGCCCCGCCTGGATCTGCCAACTCCTGAGTTTTAGGAGGGGGATCGGGCTTCGGAAGAAACCTCCACATGGGGGCGCTGGAAGGGCGCGGGAAAGACTGAAGCAGGGTCCCTGCGGCGTCATGTGGGGTGGGGTGGGGGGACCCAGAGGGTCAGCCCCGTAGCCAGTTCCCTTCCTTGCTCCGGCCCGGATCACGTTTGCATTCTCAGTCGAGGGGAAAGAGCACGCGGTAGGGGAGGCTTTTCAGGCTCCCGACTCCGCCACTTTGCAGCTGGGCGGCCTCGTCCGAGGCACTCTGCCTGCCCAGCCGGCCGGTGAAGTGGGCCCAGTCATCCCACCTCCTTTGGACGCAGTCGGCGCTCGGGAAACGTCAGCTTCCTGCCCGCATCCCGCCCTCGGCTCGTGTTCCTTCTCGGCTCTCCTCCCTCCT